ACCAGTCAATAAAATCCTTACTGCATTGATTCTCTCACCAGCTGAGTGACAGCGAGGCTACTATAATCACCCATTATTAAGGTGGATTGTGTAAATTAAGCCTAAAGATGTGAATTGAATTTAGGACCTAATTCCTCTGGTGGTAGAACCCAAAACAAGGGGCATAATCCTTAAATTAAAATTTGGTCATTCAGAAGTGAAATCAGGGACTACTTTTTCCGCACAAGGTTTTGAAATCTGGAATTTGATCCCTTTAAATGCTGTGAATATTGGTGTCGTTGGAATTTTCAAGGTTGAAATCCACAGATCTTTATTAGGTAGATACATTAAGGGATCATGGAAAAAAGGCAGGCAATAGAGTTCAGAACTTTTTAAGCAATCTACTTAGACATGTTATGATTTGATTTAATTTATTATTGTCGCACATACTGAAATACAGCGAAAAGTATTGTTTTGCATGCTAACTGGACACAAGTATATCAGGGTAAGAGAACAGGATGCAGAATGTAGTGTTACAGCTACCTCATGGGCAATGGGACTTGAACCCAGAGCTTTTGGTCCAAAGACCAGGACACTACCAGTGCATCACAAGGCCCTCTTTCAATCATGATCTAATTAAATGGTGAAATAGGCTGTAGGAACTGAGTGGCCTTTTCCCTTTCCTGCATATATCCAGCTCATGTAACTGAGTGCAATCTCTTCTGTGAATATTTGAAAAAGATTAACAACAACTTGTGTTTATATGGTGCCTTTAATATCAAGTGTCCCGAGGCATTTCTTGGACATTATCAAGCAAAATTTGATTTCCCTGTTTTCTGCAACCTTTTACCTTGTTTTAAGAAATATCTCTTTGGAATTGGCCACAGAAACAGATTGAATTAATCAGCATAGTGAGTTTGCATTAATTACACAATACGGTGCCTCTGAGGAGGTTCTTAAAACCAGGTTTTATATACAGTTGCAAGAGTAATCATAGAATCCCTACAGTGTGGAAACAGGCCATTCGGCCCAACAAGTTCACATCGCCCCTCCGAAGAACATCCTACCCTAACTCATTCCCCTACCCCTGAATTTCCCCATGTCTAACCAACTAACCTAAACATCCTTGGACACTACGGGCGATTTAGCATGGCCAGTCCACCTACTCTGCACATCTTTGGATTGTGGGAGAAAACTGGAGCACCCGGAGGAAACCCACGCAGACACAGGGAGAATGTGCAAACTCCACACAGACAATCGCCCGAGGGTGGGATTGAACCCGGGTCCCTAGCGCTGTGAGGAAGCAGTGCTAACCACTGAGCCACCATGCTGCCCAAATATGCACCTTTTTAAAAAAGTTATTGAATATCAGCAAAGTATTTATTTGCTAAAACTGACCACACACCCTATTGAAGCCAACGTATAGTTATGTTTCATTTGTTAGTCATTTTTATTCAATTAACAAGTGATAGATTAGACATTCATTAAAAATGCTTTTTTAGGTAAACACCTTTTTATCTGCATTGACAGAATGGTTATTAATCTTAAAAATGTTTGTTTATATATTTAATGCAGAAAACAAAAAGGAGTAAAGGGGAAAAAATAACTTCTGAAAAATCTGGTTCATGAAAGACTTTTACATTTATGATTATACAAATGAGTTTTTGCAGAAAGGTTTTGAGCATAGATTGTGCCTAGATTGCTGATGTGCCGTAGGCAGAAATTTTGCAATGGGATGTTGAAGTCTATATGAGCAGAAAATTTGTATTTTTCTCATTCAGAAGGGATTTTATGTCCAGGATTGAATGTGCCATTTCCTTTATCTCTAAACAGTCAGTGGCCCTAGCTTGTCGTTTGCCCCCTGTAACTTAAACAGCAGGAAATCACAAATTGACCAGGAGCTGTAAAAGTGTGATTGCCAAAGTACACTAAAGTCTATATTATCATTGCGTGTCAAGGAAGTGATGTTTTCAGATCTGGGGTTCGCTTGTTGTTCTGCAATTACTGGTTAGCCCTTGTTTGTTTCATTGATTTGTGCATTCCTTGTGTACTAAGAACATCTCATGTTCCACATCAGATCCATGTTGACTTTAGATTAGGTCAGGCAAACCCCATGCAAGGATGCGTACACTGTGAATCAGCCCATGTTAGATGTTTATTTCCTACTCAATGTTTATATGTAATGAACTGCACTTGCAGCATGTAGTCACTTTTTATGAAGTCTCATAATATACAGATGCTGCAGTGAAAACAGAGAATTTGTTTCTATGTTTTATAAATAAAGGGGTTTTCAGTTTTAATGAAGTTTTCTGTTGTAAGAATTTGCAACCAAAACATTTGAGTCCAAAAATAGAGTTGAGGCGAATTAAGTTTATGATCTTGGTGTTCAGCAAAAGGCCTGTATGTAATGAGATCAGTGGCAGGACTGCAAGAAGTTGGTTTGCTGGGTCTCATTTGTTTATTACCAGTGTAGTGCAGCTCCCAATCGCTGCAAAGTTTGACAGTCTTGAGAAGCACTAACATTCCCCAACACAGATGTCAGTTGAAGTTGCAAGTAGAGTCCAGCAAGGCAACCAGGAATATAGGAAGTGGTGACTAAAATAGCTCCACAGAGGCCAGTATCCCGTCATCAAGTCACCCTTTATTTACACGTGGAGAGTCCTTGACACTGATCCGTCTCCAACAGAGTCAGCTCTGAGTGGCCAAAACCTCTGACACTTCTGTTTATATCTGTCAGCCAGGACTCTCTGGACCAGGTTAACAGCACTAATCAGGGATCTCATATATTCTATGAGACCCACTTGGCTGACCTTGTTCAAATCACTACACTGACTAGCAGTGAGGCATTGATTTAATGGTTCTTTCGTGTTTGCCTTTCTGGAAGAAGCCTCCAGAGTTTCTTTGAGGATGACTGATTTGGCTGCCAAGTACCTGGCAGCAATAACAGAAGCATTTGCAGATGCTGCCGTTAGTTGCAAATGAATTTTCAGAAGAGGCCCATAAACGGGTGTTAAAATACCTATTCCATATGCAAAGTCCCTGATACCTGTTTCAGCCTTCAGCTCCACGTCCCTATACAAAAGCCTTTACTAATGTGAATGTGCGTTACCTGCCAAATTGGATGTTTAGGCACTGGTTTTATCTTGTAAAACTGGTGTAGTGGCAGAGACTTTCTAGATTATGTTATTTCACATGTTTATTTCAATGAAGTCTTGATCACAACACGTATTTAGTAATCGCTTTTTTTTGTGAATAAACCTTTGCATAACCGATTCTTCTTAAGAGCAGTTGAAGAATGAAAGTTGCAAATTTTCTAATTAGGGTCATCAAATGGTTCCAGTGTAATTGTTGCTGGTTCCCTTTCTAAAAGTGTACAAGATTTACTGATGTATCATTGATAGAAGAGCTGTTAGACATATGCTGAAAGTGACTTGTTTGATGCATAGAAACTAACAGATGGGGCCAGTACTTACAGCACAATGTTTTTTTTGTTTGAGGTAAAGTAAACTTGGAGCTGCATGGAGTTGATTTTGATTTTGCAACCTAGTTGATAATTGACAGATTTCCTTCCATTCTGTGTGATTGTAACTAATCAGATAACACCTCTCTGTACTTTGATCAGAAAACATGATTATTTGGTACAATATTTTAAAATTGCTAATGCTCTAAGTAACAGTTAATATAAATTGCTTTATAGAAGCCTGTTAGATGATGATAATTTACAATGCAATCAAAATATGCTGCCATTAAGATAAAATCTAGTTAGTGTTGTGACTATCAGTGCTTTTCAAATGATGGTAAATAATTGTTTTAAGATCCTGTTTCTCTGTGATTTTATGAATTATTTTATTTGAAGGAATAGACCCATCTTTATTTGGTTACGTAACATAAAAACATGTAGCAACTGTATAGCAATTGTCCTTTTTTACTTTCTCAATTGTTAATTCTGGCAAAGTTGAGAGTTAATTTGTACCAAAGTGTAGTCTCTCTTCGGGTGACCCAATTGATTAAAGGTATGCATAGTTAAGCCAAACAAGTCCCAAGTTCACTCCGTCTTTTATAAATTAGCTGGTCCAGTTAGGATGCTGGTAGGATGCTAAATCAATCTTAGTGCCTCGGGTTAGGAAGAAGAAATTTGTCTAGGATTACTGCTTCCGATGATTTTTCAATGTCACCCACTGAATCTGTGCTTGCGCTGATGTCGGATGAAGATAAATCAAGCGTGGCTGTCATGCTGTATAAGATAGAATAACATGTGAGCACATTGTCTAGTCCTTATGTGCAGAATTCCCACTTGAGCAAGCTGCGTTTCGGCGCAGGGAGTATTTTCATGAAGAGAAAGAGAAAATCATAATAGATATTGAACAGCATATCTAAACTTGTCCCTCTTAATAAATGAGAGATTAAAGGTCAGAGGAGCACCAAGAGAAAGACTAGCTCAAGTATGGAGTGTGGAGGCAAGATTTTCCCATCTGTGCCCTGCTAAAAGAGCAAAGAAGCTCTAGATAAGCTTCCTCAGGAATGAAAGTAATCTATTCTGCCATGATTTTTGGTTTGATAGCACTAAGAGTTGCTGAGGGGATGAGAAAATACAAAAGACACCAAGCTTCTTGGAACAAGAAGCAATATAGGAAATAAGTTACATATTAGGATCAAAAGAAATACTATACACTACAATACTGATGAAGTGTGCATTGATCAAAGAAGGAATAGCTTTTGTTTCATATGGCTTGCCTTGAGACTGAGGAATCTGTATAAATGTTATATATGTCAAGAATAAATGGGAGATTTTCAAGTTGTCAACTGGGAGTTTTATTAACATCATAACTTTGTAAAAAAAAATCAAATTGCAAATGTAAGCTTACAGTATGAATATGCTAATCAAACTAGAAACGATGATAAAATAGTCAATGCAACTTTGTTTTGCTGGCTCAAACTAGTTTGAGTTTACTTTTGTGCTATGCATTCCATTCTAAGATTATTAGTTCGAAGGGCACCATTTCCATTTCTAGCTCATGCTTTGCCTGCGTGTTTATGTTAATTTGGGTTCAGATTTAACAAGGTCTGCCGTACTTTTCAGAACAATTTACAAGGACCAGCAGCTCCCATTCTGATAGCAGCGGCTTTGCAGAAGATCCATCCTCTGACATGACTGGACAGTGCCAGGTATTACATTTTTACTTTAAAGAAAGAAAATTATGCTCCAGTTTACTTCTTAATAGTTACATTTTAGGTGTTATTTTTCAGGAGAATACAAATGACAGGCAGTAGAGGTTAGAAACAGGCCATAGGCCTCCTCTCAAATGTTATGACTTTTTGGAGGGGACAGTGAAGCAAAAAAGTATTAGTGAAGAGAGGGCAAACTGCAGACGTAACCTTTGATAATCTCGAAAGGAGGAGCTATTTTCCCGAAATAAAGGATTTTTCTGTCAATCTGTGCTCTGATATACTTGGGTTTAAAATAGTAGCAGAAATTTCTGCATAACTATAGCAAGTTAATGAACATCTTAAAAGAGAACAGAGACAGAGTTGTATTTTTGCAGTAGGTTTTATTTGATCTCCAATCCTTGCAGTATTCTCATTTTAATTCTGCAAGTATTCAGTTTGTTGAAATTAAATATATCTTTTAACAAATTGCTTAATAACATTTAAGGCCCTACTATTACAAGCAAAATACTACAATATCGCGATGTTTACTAAAGGCGTCCTAATCTGTAATGTGTATCTACTTTAATTACCCATCTAAATTAGCCACACGATGGCAGGGGGATATCTGATTTCTAATGCACATCCTGTTGACTTTTAAGAATATCTTTTAATGTCTAATAAATCTGTTCTATCTGCAGTTGAAACATATACCTGGGATACTGGTGACCTTTTTGGTGACTGAGCCCCAGCAGATGCTATAGGTCATGTATTCAGTAACTTTAAAAGCTGAGGAGGTACTAGTATTTGTCAAATAACCAACATTGATTTTTAAATTGGGCAGCTGTATTCACTGTTCCATCCCTCGTGGCTCAGATGCTATGTTGACACATGTCTGGTGTCATATTCAGATTCAGTGGAGCTTACATTATTCACTCTTCTTGTTACTTTGCACTTAATGCTTTATTTCTAGGATCTCTTGTTTTAAATTTTTTTCACCAAATCAATTGATGCACTGTTACTTTTTGTAAATTCTTGTGTTGTTTTATTTCCTCATTTCTACAGGGAGTTTAATCTGAAATGATTTAAGATCAATCGCTATAAAATAAACTTTTTAGCTATTTATTTCAATATATCTTTACAGTGCATTTTGCTTGTACACTCAGTGTATATACTAAGGTTACATTAGATTTTACACATTTAAATTTCTAGGACAGATGATTGATCTAAATATATTTTTGTGACAGTTCAAAGTAATGATTTGAGTTGTAGAAACATATATTTATGTGAGAGGCTGTTTTCATTGAGTTGATAATGAGTAAAACGATGGGAACATTCGAGACAGACACAAGTTTGATTTAAAATCAACTTTGAAGCCTTTTCTAGTTAGTTGAGGGTTTGTATTTTGCGTGTCTCCCACTCTCCATTTAACCAAAACAAAACAAATTTTGTTTTGCTATTATTGCTATTTTGGTACAACACAAACCTCTTTTTCTAAATGTCTCAGCTATGGAAGCGATTTCTTTTGAATGAGTAATTGATCAGTAACTTTAGCAGCAATTTTCTTTCCAGGAAAGACTTCCCTTGAGCCAGCAGAATAACAGCATAGAGTGTTTTGTTGGAAAGCACTTGTATGAGAACATAAGTTTGCCACAAATTTATAAAGGTTGAAGAGATCCTTGCAGTGAGTAGTTACTGAGACAGGTTTTTTTCTCTTTAGCCCAATGGTTTGAAGCCTTACAGCTCTATTGTGAAAACTAAATTATTTTTACAGCTGCATTGTTCCTAAATGATCTGTGCTTTTTAGGAGTGTTTGATGTCTGCAACCAGTTACGATACACATATTGCTTATTGACCCACTTCCGAGCATTGATTTTTTTAAAATGTTTTTGTTGAAATGTTGAAAATAAAACTGAGTGTCTTAACTGGATACAAAAGCATTTAAATTTAAGCTACTAGTAACTGATTGAATTAATTATTTCAGCTGAATTTTTATTATACATTTAATCCTTGTGCTCTATCCAAGGGTCCAGATGGTTACCTGCAAGCTATGGGGAGCAGTGCTGACAGCTGTGATAGTGAGACAACAGTCACATCATTAATTGATGACCTTAAAACTCCTCAGAGTTGTGACCAACAGTTTTTCACTCCATTTCAAACACCAGTGGAAAATATGACTCTGGATCTTAAAGAGACAATTTTAGATTTGAAAGCAGAGCTAATTCCTGATGCCATGATTGATTCACAAGAAGCAATGATTGAGAATGAAGGCAAGGAAGCTGTTGATGTGGACAATTCTATACAATCAGGTGAACAGCAGGCTTTAGATTTTACTGATGAGGAATCTTCTTCACAAGGTGACTTGGCACTGTACCCAGAAAGTGATACAAAGTGTCAAAGTGAACGTGGTGTTCCTATATACTCTGGTCACCAAAAGGCTGGACAAAGGCAGAATAGCATGGATTCTATCCTGAGTTGCTATTCAGAACCTGCTACTTTAAATTTAAAGGACGCTGAAGCGATGAGTTTTTCCTCTTCATCGATAGATAAAATTACTACACTACTTGAAAGAGCTAAAACAAAAACCTATATTGTCTCAAGCACCTCTGGAAGAGCACGACGTCCTGTGACCAAAGCAAATGATCAAATAATGAGAGAGGGAGAAAGATCGTCCAAGAATGAACCTCTTGCACAGATGAAGCGATCCAATTTTCAAAGGTCTAGCTCCCTCCCAACTACACTGCTCAGTCCAGTGCGAGTTGTGTCTTCACTAAATGTGCAGTTAACACCAGACAGTGGTTCACAGTGCAGTTTGCCCTGTTTTACCTACAAATACACTGCTGTGAAAGACAAGGAGAAGATGCCTACAAATGATGGTGATGAGCAGTCAACCTGTCGATCAATGCTATTTATCCCATTTGCAAAAAGAGAGAGTAGAAAACAATTCACTTTGAATAGACATCAAGAAATGCCTCAACATAGGCTGAGTTCGCAGTCATTACCAATGCGTTCACCTCTGACACAGTCTTGCTGTTCTCTTCATACACTTCCTTCAGACTGGCAATCTCTGCATGATCACATGAGAACCAGGAGTACGTGCAGCATTCCCAACCTCTTCGAACCTACTTGTGCAACATGTGCAGTACCTTTCGGACAATTGTATCCTCAGAGACCGGTGGCACACTCTTATCATCACATTCCCATGAATCCTCCATCTGCTACTGAATCACAGCTTCGCAGAGTCCTTAATGAGATTAGAAGCACAGTGCAGAATCTTTCACGGGTAACGAACCACCATTTCATTTGCAAAGTTAGGGAATTAAGATTACTTTGCCTACCTTATAAGTCTGTAAGTAATTGGAATGCGGTTTGCTTCAATATCCAATGGTAACAAACACATCATATACTTCTGAAATATGTAATTTGAAAGATTAACAACTGTTTATTATTTAATATTCACATTTGTAATTGAGTGAGGAGACGTCTGGGGACAAGATCTGTGGTTGCATCCTATTAGTATATCGTTGACATATTGATACTGTGAAATGTTTTAACTATGATTATTTAGTTTTTGCCCTTAATAAGTAATCTTAAATCTGTATATGATCTGAATATGTTATAAATGCCTCTTGGCTTTCCACAAAGCTCCTTGCTAATAAAATCACTTATGTTTCCAGATGCCAATGTTTCAGGGGAGTGATCAGCCCTTCCCTCATTATTCGTCATCAAGATTAGGTCTTTTACCATTGTATGAAGTAAGTTGCCTTCTGAAACCAAAACATAATCTGCTACTTTTTGATGTTTTTATTCATAATATATCAAAAGTACTGGTTGGTGGCCTGTTTTAGTTGCATTAGTGTTGTACAGTATAACTGCTATGATCGCTAGTTTTCAGATCACATTTCAACAGTGTGAATTTTATTGAAACACTTTCAGTTTTAAGCATTAATGCTTAACTGTGTTTCTAATTCATATATCTGGATTAAGCCAAAGCACAAATGCTCTTTTCATAGCACTATAGAATAACATTGGATGAGTGAGAAGATCCAGCTTGACAATAGCTTTGTGAATTTGTTTTTGTGTTTTGATGGGAATCGATATAGCAAATAGAAATTTTATCAACTTCAATATCACAGAGACTGCAGCGATTCACAGAAGTGGTCCCACCACCACCTGCTGAAGGGTGACTAGGGCTGTGCAGTAAATGCAGATGTTGTCAGTGAACACTACATCCCATGATTTTTTTCTTGAATTCCCTGATTAAAACAGGAGCTGGATGCAGTCTTGCTGCAATAAGAAAAGTTGCTGGATCCCAACTACCAAAGAACTATTTCCTACTGCAACACTTGGGGAAGTCTATTTTCTACAGCACCCTTGTCATGACCTGCCAGAACAAAAAAACTAATTTATAAACCAGTGCATTTTGTATCGGAGTTCCCATTTTGTGCTATGGTCACATGAGAATTAGATACAAACTCAGCTTAAATTCTACATGACAGAAGAGGAGACCTTTTATCAGAGGGTGTAAAGAATCCATTTGCTGCTATTTGCTTTACTTTGCCTCTATTATTGGCAAATGAAAGTAAATGAGCCAATGCTAGTGTTGATGGTGGTGGTGCATGGCATCAATGAAACTCCCATACGTCTTGGACTTGGCAACATAAATAATTACTATGGTCAGTTTGATAGAACAAGTAACGGAGTATAATGTGGGGAGGGAGGATTGTATTGGCCTCTTTCATTGTTTAATGGGGGTAGATTGTCCACAGTGCTGATTCTAGGCTCATTGGTTTTATTAGCTCTTAGTGAGTGTCACAAAAAGGTAATTGTGTTTTGAAAGATATGAATTAATGGCATCAAGGCTCTGCATCCAACTGAAGTATATCTTCATTGGACAGGCATTGCCTTTCTTTAATCAAAACACATTCAGTAAATGGTCTATGTTACTTAGGAATGCATTAATATAGAATCGTGCCACTGTACCAGCACTGATTTGGAACATATACAGTACTGTATTAGCAACCCAAAGTCTAAATTCATCAGAGAGGCTCCGTGTTCAGCAAATTCTAAAAGCTAAATGTACACAAACAAATCTTCATGACTTAAATTTCCTTTCATACAAAATCTCAACTAATGCACTGCATCTGTAACGTTAAGTTTTTTTTTTTTTCTCAAAAATTTTTTCAGACTACATATCAAGAGCTGCAGATAATGAGAAGGAATCTGAACTTTTTTAGAACACAGATGATGGACTTGGAATTCATGATGCTAAGGCAGCAAACCTTGGTGTATCAGCATTTATCTGATGAGGAGAGGTGAGATTTTAAAGATTTGGCCATTCACTTATCAGTCGTGATGTATTACAAAAGGAAATGAAAATATTATATACATAATTTTAAACTCACGCACTTTTGGTAAAGTTCATACTATGTGGGTAATCTCCCTACTGAACTGTTAATTTGTGTGGTGCATTTGAGTGCTAGGAGATATTTAAAGGGAGAAGACAAAACAAAAGATCTTCCTTACATTTATTAGTAATTTCTGAACAAAAAATTTCATTTTATGTAATGAAGGCTAATTGCATTTCACTGCCATTTAGTAAGACAGTTTATAAAGTGACAGAAATTGAAAGCTGACCAACAGGTCCCAGATGCTTGCTAGCTGCTTGGATGAGGGCATGGACTGTAGGGAAGTTGGACTAACTGACACTACACTGTGCTATAGGATTGTTCTTATAAGGAGGGGGAGTATAAAGGAAATAGTAGCAGATTCCACAATTAGAAGACTTTGCAGCTTAGAATGAGAGTTCCAAAGGCTGTGCTGCCTCCCAGTTTGCAATTTAAGACCATCTCCTTGGTTTGGGAGTGGAACTTAGAGTACATGAGGTAAAATCCAGTTGCCATGTCCACATGAGTGCCGATGACATAGGTAGGACTAAAAAAGAGGCTCTACCAAGGAAGCATAATTTTAACAACCTAACCTCATTTAACATCCAAAGCAGGCATTCAGCAGCGGCGGCTTACTGCACATAAAGGAATCTAACTAATAGTGAAGAGCAAACTGAAAGCTTAAAATTGCTTCATGCTGATCCTAATAATCAGTGTGACTGTAGATGAGTTCCCCATAGAATGTAGCACCCCATTGCAGATCGTTGGGCAGAATTAACCCATCTGGTTAAAATCACATTTGGCTTTATTCATATGGCATGTAACTGTGTTTGGTGAGTTCTTCTGACACTGAGGGAAACTGTGGTGTTAAAAGCAGTGCTGAAATGGAAGTTGGGTAGGCACTGAAGAGGAAAAGATCTTATTGGGCAATAGGGTTAGAGTTGTTTGGCTGTGATGAGGTATGGAACTGACTGGATTGCTCTATAATGAACCAGCATGGACTTGATGTGCCAAAAGTTCACTTTCTCTGTCATCATAACTCTATAAACAACAAGGGACTAATTAAAAAGCAAGAACACTACCAGAGCGACAATAAAATTGACATAAGATCTGACAGTTGAACATGTGGCTCAAAGTTTGACTCATGGAGGCATGTTTCCTCTTATCTGGGATTCTAAAACCCGGTGACCATTTCAAAGTAAAGAGTCTCCCATCTAGGAAGGAGGTAAGGAGGAATTTCTTCTGAGCTTTGTAATCTTTAGAATTCTCTCTCCTCAAGAGAGTGGTAGAAGTTGGGAGTCATTGAATGTATTCAAGCCTGTTGCACAAATATTTGATAGACGAGGGAATCTAGGGTTATTGGAGAGCAGGCATGAAAGTGAAGTTAAGGCCACAATCCTTTCTGCCAGAATCATTGACTTGTAGAGGAACCTACTCCAGTTATTTCTTATGTTCTCATGACCAGGCTTCTAGTCTGCTTCATGTTATATTGTCATATATATGGATAATCATTTATTGTCTAAAATATACTTTTAAAATAAGCCAGATCACAAGTGTTAAGGCTGATTGCACTGAGTTTCAAGGTCAAAGATCTATTGTCAATTTATTTTTTTGTGAAGTATCTGCTTAATACTTTATGGATTTGTAGATTCTCATTGTCTGGTTTTAAGGTAAAAAGCCCTTGGATTTAATCCATCTTTTACAAGGATTGATCCTGTAATCTGTCTCTTTTATCAGTATCTCCTCCAGGGTTTGAATATCCCTAACATCTTGATGATCAGACTGGCTGCAAAATACTTTTTTGGTGTTTACATTTAATTCACTGCCATTTCTCCTCCAGGTCTGCTCAACTACAAGAAATCCTGTTTCTCTCCTTGACATGATTACTGTTTTTTGGAAAGATCAGCATTTGAATTGTTAACTTATGTGTCCTCTCATCAGTTGTTACCCGTCTGTTTGCAGCACTTTCTCTTTAAGTTACATAATTCAAAGTTGTGGTTTGACCAAGACAGTTGATGGTTTCAGCATGACATCTTCTAATTCACACACCACTATTGCCCATTCAGTTCAGCATTCCTCTTGCTTTTGTACCTTGTTGTATTGCCCTCATTGAGCTTAAGTCAACTGTGACAGCTAGATGACTTTCAGATAGACCTGTAGCTATTTTGAGACCATTCATGGATAGTTTCAGCCTTGTCTCAATTCAGTCTCTGTCTTTTGGGCATTTACATTTGCTTTAAAAATAACTTATTAGCTGTGAAGCATGTTGAAACATCTTGAGAATGTGTAAGGTAGTATACAAAAACATGTTTTTCGTTCTATTTTTTCATCCTACTTGTATTTTCTTCCAACTGGATCTCTGTGTAATTTAATCTTCTACTATGACAACAGCTTATATTTTGTTTAATTCTTGACTCTTATCAGTTTGTCCCTTCCACTTCAACAGTCCCACTTAAATTGCTATGATCCATGAATTTTATGGACCTGCATTGAGCTTCTGTATCGAGGTGATTTAATGGAAGTTGCAAGGTACACCACTGATTTACAGGCACTGCATAAGCACTTCTCCCGATCTCCACATACCTCCTCTCTACGAAGTACTCAAATCTTTGAGCTATTGTCTTAACCATTTCCAAATTGTACTATGAATCGGTCATTAGTTTTAAGTATGGTTTATTCCCAAGTAGCAGTCAAACTCATGTAAAAGTCAACCCTTGATCTTTGGTCAAAACGTCCAAACTCTTTCTATTTACCACCTGCATGCCAACAAAGTCAGCCTTGTCCTGATGCAAACCCAATCATTGATGGAATTATAGAAGAACACACCATCAAAGGTGACAGTTCAACTCTTCATGCCTCTGTACATCAATACATGGTGTCAAGGTTACTACCTCACTAATGCATGCTGTGTTCCCAACAATTCCTCCTCCTCTTATGTTAATATGGCATAAGGAACAGCGAATGTAAAGCCCCAGTTGAAACTTTAAGTCATTAAAGTTGCCAGGCACATAAGTAATTGTGCAGCATATGGCTGTAGTTAGACAATGAAGTTGAACAATACATCACTGAAAATCACCAGACTGGGACTCTCAGTTTCTCACGGATCCATCCAAAATTTCGGAAATAAGCAAAAACAATTAGGGCATGACTGATTTTGTGTATTTGGTTTATGAAGAGAAACAATTTTGTACTGCAACAGAAGACCAAGATTTCACACACTTTAATATTAAATTTTCATTAAAATTATCTTTGGCTCCTTCTGTGCTGCTTTTTTGGAGAGAGGTTGAACAGTTTCTATTCTGACACTTTGGAGACAACAAGACAAAGAACTTGTAATCATGCAAAAGTGACCCCTTAGTTTTTGCCTAAAAAAAAACTTTATAATCTCTAGTGTTACACAGCCAGTCCCTGGATGAGCTTCCTCAATTTGTTACCATTCCAGATGGGTATCTCAAATCATTAAGCACCCAGGTGAAGAGGGATGAACCGGATCCCCTTGCTTTTTCACCCAAGGTTGGCCACAACAAAATTAATTTTTAAAAATAAGTTTCCCTGGTGAATACCTGGTTAATTTATTTTTAAAGGGGCCAATACAACAGGCTTAAGTGCATTAACAGCAGAGTGGGTTTATTAGTCCTAACTACTACAAGAAGTAATAACACAATATAAGAACATAGATTAGGAATGACATGTGAGTCCCAAAAAAGATAAAAATTAAAACTTTGGTAAATGCTGATCATCTCAAATCATTGTCATCAGACTGCAGGGTTTTTGCAATGTTGTATATTTTATTCTTTTTTAAAGCTATTCCAGTGTAATTATGTTTGTTTTGTGTTCAGAATGATGATGTACGAGTTATCTATTTCTTTTAAAAATTGTGGAAATGTTCAGTTCAGCGGAAATGTCAAACCACTTCTCTGAATTTTATTGTCGCTCTGGGTTTGATTCATATCCAAAATTGTGTTTTGGGGTAGACTACCTGACACGTAGGAAGATGGTCATAGTTGTTGGAGGTCAATCATCTCAGCTCAAAGGACATCTCTGCAGGAGATCCTCAGGGTACTGTCCTAGGCCCAACCGTCTTCAGCTGCTTCATCAATCACCTTCCCTCCATCATAAGGTCAGAAGTAGGGATGTTCACCAATGATTGTACAACATTCAGGACCATTCGTGACCCCTCAGATACTGAAGCAGCCCGTGTTCAAATGCAACACAATCTGGACAATATCCAGGCTTGGGCTGACAAGTAGCAAGTGACATGTGCGCCACACAAATGCCAGGCTATGACCATCACCAATAAGAGACAATCTAACCACTACCCCTTGACATTCAACAGTGTTACCATCACTGAATCTCCCCACTATCAGCATCTTGGGGGTTATCATTGACCAGAAACTCAACTGGACTCACCACATAAACGCAGTGGCTACAACAGCAGGTCAGAAGCTAGAAATACTACAGCGAGTAACTCACCTCCTGACTCCTCGAAGCCTGTCCACCATCTACAAGGCACAAGTCAGGAGTGTGATGGGATGCTCCCCGCTCGCCTGGATGAGTGCAGCTCCAACACCACTCAAGAAGTTTGACACCATCCAGGACAAAGCAGCCCGCTTGATTGGCACAACATCCACAAGCATCCATTCCTTCCACCACTGATGCTTAGTAGCAGCAGTGTGTACTATCTACAAGATGCACTGCAGAAATTCACCAAAGATCCTCCGACAGCACCTTCCAAACCCTTGACCACTTTCATCTAGAAGGAAAAGGGCAGCAGATGTCTGGGAACACCACTACCTCCAAGTTCCCCTCCGAACCATTCTTTGAAACATATCGCCGTTCCTTCACTGTTGCTGGGTCAAAATCTTGGAATTCGCTCCCCAGTAGCATTGTGGGTCGGACTGCAGCAGTTCAAGAAGGCAGCTCACCACCACCTTTTCGAGGGCAACATGGGATGGGCAATAAACGCTGACCAGCCAGCAGTGCCCACATCCCACAAATGAATTAAAAAAAAAAGCTGTGATGAATAGCTCATTCCTAAGCTTTAATGCAGTGAAAGTAAGGTCATTGCTTTGTGAATTGCTTTAAGTATGCCACATGAAACCATTGCATATCTCATGTCCTCAAATATTGTAATGCAACGCATGTAAAGAGCATTCAAAGCAGAAGAAGAAGATTGAGTGTTTTATCTTTGTTTGTAGACAAGAAGCTGACCAACTGCAGAACCTTCGCAACAGTGTGCGTATGGAACTCCAAGAGCTGGAATTTCAACTGGAGGAGCGATCATTGTCTCTGGAGGAACAGCTCAAAATCCCGAACCAGTACACTATGTTTAATCCTCCACCTTGTGCTGTGAGTTATGTGCACTTAATCCTATTGATTCTTGTCTAAATTACTGTATTGGATGGATATTTTAGATAACTTTGATTTTCCTGCAATTTAATCTTTTTCTTCTTTGGCCTGGCCAAATCTGATATCCTTTGAACTGAGGGGACATTTGTAGGAGCTGTTCCTAAGTCACTACCATAGGCTTTTGCCTTTGGACACTGCTGTCTTTTCTGAATTTATTCTGCTGAGAAATGCCCATCCCTCTACTTGGTATTTCATTCTCCAAGCCAATGCATTTGGGAAATGAATTACTGTGGCAGCCTCTGCTAATGCCCAATACTATTCCTGATTCTCGTATGTTCTTATCAGTTGATGGGCTAACTGTACTTAGTCTCCTGATAATTCAGGTCAGTTATCTGTCTGTAAGAATGACCGCATATCATTCCAAGTTTTAAGATGGCACTGGAGAGTGGTGACACTATGTAACACATTTCACTGTATCACATGACAATAAATAAATCAAATCCAATCAAATCAAGTTGCTTGCCATTTCTACATGCTGTCTTGGTCTCGTATGAAAGTTTCTGTCCTAGGCCTGCTGCAGTGTTCAAATGAAGCCCAGTGTAAGCTGCAGGAACAGCATCTCATTTCCCATGACTGCACTTTACAGCCTTCAGGACTCGATGTTGAGTTCAACAACTCAAGGCCATGAACTCTGCTCTCCACTTTGGGTATCCCCTCACCTATATCCCCATTTCTTGTTTGTATGGGTTTGCTGTCAGCAGAGCTAACTCATTATCTGCTCATGATGCCTATCAGTAACATCTATTGTTCATCTATATCTTTTCTCTGCTACGTTTTGCTCTGAGCACCTTTCCCTACTGTTTCACTTGCCCCTCCTCCCATCTTTTAACAGCGTAGAATTTGTCATTTTACACCCCACTTAAATTCCAAATAAGGGTTAGATTGGACTTGTAACATTAACTCTGTTTCTCAACAGATGCTGCCAGACCTGCTGAGTTCTTCAGCATATTTTGTTTTTACTTCTGAATTATTAGTCTGCTTCTCCAATGTTCAATGCAGAAATTTCCTTCGGTTAAATATTGGGAAGACCAAAGCAATTAACTTTGGTCCCTACTATAAATTTTATTCTGTATCACCCTCTAATATCACTCTCCATCCCTCTCCTTGGCAATTTTCAGAGTCTGAATCAAGCCATTCACAACCTTGGTATATTTGACCCTGAGGTGAATTGCTGGGGTAGAATTCTCACCTTCAGTCTTGGAGGAGCATTAAATTATTGCGGGGTAACCAGCACTGTTGGCAATGCATTCCCTGCCATTCTGCCCATTGCATTTTTTTCTCGACCTCCAAAGCATTCGGTCCCTCTCAGAAATGTGTTAGTCTTTCTTTGTGTCTTGTTGACCCTCCAGATCCTGCATGCTTTTCTCAAGAGCTGTCAGTATTGGGGAGATAATTAATGAGCAGTAATATGGCTATAAAGGAAATATGTTAGAAAGCAGTGCTTCAACAAGAGAGAAGTAGTGTGCCTGATGCTTTGATTTCCACAATTTTGTCCTCGGGCTTGCGATTTTATTTTTCTTTAAATTTTAATAGAACTGGAAAAGGCAGTACATTTGTTGACTAGAATTTGCATGCTATATGTTTTGAATGATATTGTTTCCTTAAATTTCAGGGGGCATTCACTAATAACACAGATACTGTATCTTCCTCCCCTCTCAATGTAATGGAACCGGTAAGTAAATTGCACTGCCCTGTGAACAGTCATTAAACATAACTGCTTTGCCGCACAGAATCTTTCGAACTGGAAACTCCTGATCTCCTCCTATGCACTATATATTAATGTAGAAGATCCAATATGACTGACTTCTGTCTACGTTTGTAACTTGCTGGAATCTGCACTTTTTCACATTCAGTCGCAATGCACTTTATTCCCTGTGTCATTGAATGATGTCAATGTAGTGAATGATGTCAATGTAGTAAATGATGTCAATTAAATTCCCAAAAACTTTCTATTTCTATTGTTTTCATCTCCTATAATTTTTCTTAGTAACATTCTGAAAAAAATGGTTTAAATATATTTGCTATCTTATTGATCAAGTTGGTACTGAATATCATCCATTAGTGTTTAAAAAATGGAGACTTGGCTTTATTGAAATATGCAGAATTGTCACTGGTCTTAACGTGGATGTGGAAAGGGTTTTCTTTTATATCTCTGGTAGGGGAATGTACAACTAAGGATCACTCCTTAAAAATAAAGGGACCCCTATTTAAGACAGTGATAAGGAAAAGTTTTCAATCCAAGGGTTGAGAGTTTGTTCAAACTGTTTGCCTTAAAAATTGAGGGAGGCAGAGTCATTGAACACTTTTAAGCAGTAGTTAGATTATTGATGAGCAGAGGGGTGAAAAGTTATTGAGGATAGGCAGGAATGTGGATTCGGCCATGATCTAATTGAATGGCAAAGCAAGTTCAAAAGGCTGAGTGGCCTTATCCTGCTCCTAATTTGACTGATTTTGCCAAAGGAGGTGCAAAAGGGTGTTAAGTTATTTGTTGCATTATGATGACCATGGGGCTGCGGTTCGCCTTACTGGTCCTATGGTTGTAGTCTATGCACATAAAGGTGATGTTAGTTTACCAGTTTTATGTCAAAAGGTTTAATGATTAATTTCAGCTTAGAAACTTGCTCTAGTTTTTCAATGTGTTATGGTTAACTTGCTTGCTAATGAAATTCACACACACAAATCCTGAATTGGGTCAATGACTAGTTAGCAACAGGAAGAGCAGAACTAATTTTATAACTCTCTCTTTCAAAAGGTCAGCATAGACACAATTGACCAAATGAACACCTTCTGTGCTGTAAGATTCAATCTTTATATTGTATTGATCAAGAACATAAGCGGTCGTTTATTTAAAAATTTAATCACATCATGACACTTTTTTAAAGCTGAGATGCAAAATAATTTCTCTCAGGTAGTGAATGTCTGGAATTCTCTACCCAGAGGGTGTGGAGGCTAGATCCCTGAAAGGTAGATAGACCTCTTGAAAGATCAAGGAGTTGAGGTCCAAGAGGAGTTGAGGCTTGGGGCAGATCAGTCACAATCTTGTAGAATGGAGGAGTAGGCTTGAGGGGCTGAATGGCTTATTTCTATTTCTTCATTGATATTGCAACGAATTCCTGGCAATAATGTGTCCTGGAGCAGTAATACATGACGGTGAATGCAAGAAAAGAGCTGAGTGTAGGTTTTATCATTCTCATTCTGGTACCTCCATTTTCTGTAAAACATATGTGAACGCGATGTGGTGTGGAACAATAAATATTAAAGTCGGTCTTAAAATAAGGAAATAATTTAAAGCACCTGATTTACCCCGAATGCTTTTAAACTGCTGATGCTTTAAGAGCATTTCTAACTGGCTCATGAATGAATATGGAAAATAGAATACATGAGTCTAATGCAAAACTAATTCAGAATAAGCTGGAAGCTTTAGTTTTCTTTGTTGTAAAGTAATAAGTTAAAGGTATAGATGTCATTACTGTCATTTTTTGAGGCAAATATTTGCTCCAAATATATTTCCTTAGTAATAAACTTGGAATGCTTATCATTGTAGTGATTTTTTGTAATTTAAGCAAAGTGATATTTATTTTCCATTTATCCATATTTACATACGTAGTTCTTTACTCAGTTCCTAATGACACCGCTAAAATAGAAAATAAAATTTGCATCAAATAAGTTTGTTCTTCCTCTTGAAAGGAGGAAATTTCCAGCAATATATTATTTTCTGTATAACATTCTGTCACTGATTTATTGTTAATTTTTATTTAAATCCAGGTAAATGAGCTTTTGAGGGAACAGTCTTACCTGCAAACTGAACTAGGGTTCTCTGAACCTTTAGGAGATGAATGTGATTACCCACAATCTTACTCTACACCCTTTAGTAACTTAGAGTCAACTTCACGTTGTTCAAGCCCAGGCCAGATGCCTAGACATTCAAGCTCTCTGGGTCACAGTCATCAAGGTGCACCAAGCTCTACTGTACACTCTGAAAAGCCAGCAACCCAAGCTACCTCATCGTCACAAGGCAAACAGGTTTATCGTTCTTCGGTTATGCTGACTCCCTCACTACCTTCCCAAGTTGGACAGAGAAAGCAGGTTACAGAAGACCGATTGTCACCAGGGTCCGTGCAGCTGAAGTCAGGAGGTGAGACGCCCGAACTGACTGGAGCTGCAGCAGCTCCTATTGCTAAAGAAGCACGAGGCAACATCGTGGATCATCCAGAATTCCAAAACGTTCTGCAAGAGGTTAGTGATTTAAGCGCGCCACAACCTATTCAGGGACTGAAGGCTATAGCAGTAACTGGTCCTATGAAGCTTGGAAACATACCACTTCTTGTAACTCCATGCTCACCTTAGAAACCAATGGGGCAATAGTTTACCTCACAGCTCAAAAACATTAGTTGGTACATTTTGATTGTATTTTGAGACAGGTTTCGGTTTAGAAATACATATTATTTCGCTGCTCCTGTGCAGAGTGCAAATGATATTTTAAAATCTGTTAATTACCTATGAATATTAAACAAACAAAACTTGTATCTATTTAATGAATTGGCGCTGCACTTCAGTCAAATAAAACTCTCTGGTCTGTATTTTCCATTGGCCAGACACTTGTTATTTCAGCTGCGAAGAGAGTTGTGCAAGGGGTCCCTGCACTCTCTGAAGAAAATGCCTGGGAAATTGAACATTGTGTTAATTCCCACACACCCAAGAGCCTTCAGATGGAACCATTTAAATGACATAATTTGAAGGGTTACAGTGAAATCAAGTAAATAGTTACTCAGGAAATGTAAGACTGTTAAACACACAGTCTAAGTCTTGAGTAACTATTCAACTGATTTCATACTTAGCTCACACACCCACAACTACACCTTCCACAGACCTCAAACAGCCCCTGGACTTAATATCCCCACTCCCTCCAGACCTGATGCCACTGCCCCCCACCACCCCTCCCCAACCCCCCAACCTCCCCCGCTTCCCCTGTTCCCCTCCTTGTTCCATTCCGTACCAACAACCCCTACTTCCCAACTCGGGATCTAACAGTGCTTCCACTGAAAAATATATCAGTTATAAATATAAATGGTGAGATTCCCCAGCATTGGAACTTTATAGCTCCTGTAATGTGGCCAAAATACACCTGCTGAGAGACCTGATCGAGCTGAAATGAGGTGAAATAAATGGCACTGAAAGTATCTGACATAACCGAAGGAGGAAAAGGTAAATTGTTTAAAAAATACATATTTTTGTTTTAGAAGGTTTATTCATATTTATTTCTTTGGAAGAAGGGCAGTGCTTACCTTCATATTGACTTGGCATGTTAAAGATACAAGCTGGTGCCGATTTCGAGCTAAGATGAAAATTAGCTGCTCTCGGTTTCATCCCATGTCCTGATTATGGAGTCAAAAGCTCACCGAAATGGTCCTTACTCAAAATCAGTTTTATCATATGAAGAAAAGTTCCTTAAAATCCAGCACAAAATAAGTGTGGCCAGCAGAGGCCACAATTAACATTCTCAACCCCATTGGGGCTGTTTGCATAGGATTTATTAGTACATTGTATTTATCAATTTTGATAATATATGTGCATGCTTGTAGCAGATAAAAGCAAATGTTTATTTGAAAATTTTAAAGGCAAATTACATTCATTATGGATAATTTATAAATGATCCAAATCTGTTTACATTTGGGAATAAATTCAAAAGATTTAAATAATGTTAGGCTAGTTTTGAATGGAATTTTTTTTATTATTTATTCACGGGATGAGGGCATCACAGGCCAGCCCATCCCTAATTGCCCAGACGGCAGTTAAGAGTCAACTACACTATGTGGATCTGGAGTCACATGTAGGCCAGACCAGGTAAGAATGACAGTTTCCTACCCTAAAGGACATTAGTGAACCAGTTGGTTTTTTCTGAAAATCAACAATGGATTCATGGTAATCATCAGAATCTCAATTTCAGATTTTTTTTAAAAATTGAATTCAAATTCCACCGTCTGCTGTGGCAGAAGTCTAACACAGATCCCCAGATTAACAGTCCAGCAATAATATCACCAGGCCATTGCCTCTCCCATGACAGGAAATATAGAAGATATGATAAATAAATGGATATAAGATATACACGAAAATATCAGTGAAAAGATTTGTTGAGCTTAAGCTTAAAGAACACTTTCATTTTGGTTTGGTTGCCATTAATTTTTGGCAAGAACCTAGTGCTGGAGATATGTCAGGCGAGTGTGCTTCCCAGCACAGTAGATCTGTTCTGTCCTGTATCAACCCCAACAGTGTTATGGTTTGGGGAGGGAGCAGATTCTCCGGGGGTTCTATGTTTTGCAAAGCCTTTTGGCAAATATATCAAGCAAAAAATGATGTGTACAAGAAGTGGAATGGAATCTGAATTTATCTTTGAATAGAGAGGCGCAAAAGTGAGCTAAGACAATGCTTGAGTTCAATAACATTCATAATTCTTAAGCATCTTATCTGTGATTCTTCAGAAGGTTGAAATTCAGCTGGTTTTACATTTAGCAATGTCAGTGTTTTGATGCATTGTTGAGCTGAATATAAAAGTTGTGAAAACTCTAAATAGCATTTGGGGATTTTAAAGTTGTACCAATGTTCAGTCAAAAGAATAAATCCAGTGCTCAACTTAAATGAGATAACAAGGTGTAGAGCTGGATGAACACAGCAGGCCAAGCAGCATCAGAGGAGCAGGAAGGCTAAACACTACTAGTTGCTTCCGATAGTCATTTATTTTGCCTTGAATTAACATTTTTACTGACTTGATGCTTTAATTTTGATTTACAGATCTCCTCAGTGGAGGCCTGTAAATGCTCATTCTGATTAGGGATGTATAGCATAGACAAATTGTGTCGGGGTGACGGGAAATGGATCTGTACAGAATAAAGTCTGTGAGGAAATGATGCATTTGTCATGCCTGCCACAGAGCAATCTTCGCATGCATAGGGTTTTACTTACATCTCCAAGTGACTTGTGTGAAACTGGTGAATTTTCCTACTAACAAATACTAACTTCTGAAACATTACATTGTGTTGTTCCACCATATGTGATGAACGTTGGTCCCTTGTCTAAGTACTTAATATAATCACACATCAGTTATTTTAATTGTTAATTTACACTGTTTACCATAGATCATCATGTCAATCTTAGAGTTAAGCTTGACTTGGCTTCAGAATAAGGCTGTTTTCAGTTGATAGTTATGGTGAATGGAGCTATTGTGGGGTAGTGAACTCCAGATTGTGAACTCTTTTACTAGCGTGTGCGCGTGCAATACATGCTGTGATTCTGTGCATGCACATGTGGGTCTCCACCTAGTGGTGGCACTGACCGCACAAACAGCTATGGGGAAACCTTAGGCCTAACCTGCCCTTACTAGGCTGACAACATTTATTCTATAAATTCAGATTCGCAAAAGATTTTTTTTTATGGCTTTCAGAAAGTCTATGCTCCATAATGTGATGTGAAATTATTGCTAACAGGAATCCAAAGTCAATCCTTGCAAAAATTTAAAAGGACAAATTTGTAAAATATTCAATTACTGCATTATCATTCTAAGAAGTATTAAACCAATGTTTAGAGCCAGAGTTATTGTATATATTTTTAAGAATACACTTCATGAAAATTTATCACTAATTACGAGATTAAGTTATCTTGCACAAAGGAACTAGGTTGAGTGATTTATTGTCACGTGTATCAAAGTACAGTGGAAAGTTTTTGTTTACGAGTGGTACAGGCAGATCATGGTAGGCAAGGACGTACGGATCAAAAAGACTTAGAGGCATACTGTTTACATTGCACAGGGCATATGCTAGGCGAGATCAACTTTAGCAAGATCAACATTATTTGAGGCTAGAGAGTCCATTCATCAATCTAATAACCGCTGGGAAGAAGAACCTGCTCGTGAGTCTTTTCAGGCCTCTGTGTCTTCTGCCTGATGGAAGAAATTGAAGGAGATCATTACCGGGGTGGGATGTGCCTTTGATGATGGTGGCAGCAAGCCGTGTAATTAGAGTCCACAGACGGGAGGTTAGCTTCTGTGATGGTCTGGGCCGAGCGCACTACCTTCTGTAGTTTCTTACGGACCTGGGCAGAGCAGTTGCCATATTGGGCCATTGTACAGATTTGAATAAAATCCAGTAACAAACTATTTCATAGATACAATATATTTTTTCTGCACATGTCAACTCGTAATGGATTAGTAATCCAACTTGACAAATTTTAAAAATGAATTTATTTTAAACATATGACAGTTAGACCATTCACAGGATTTATATTTGTGTCGTAATGTTTTCATTTAATTAGCTCTTCAGTGCTTTGATTTGACAGCATTGAGCTACCTCCTTAATAAATTTGAAGTTATGCTCGAGGTTTGACTTTTTCCTGTATCACTTAGTATCTTGTATACTTCTTTTAAATGTTCCCTTCCTATGCCATCAGTTGCCTTTTTTTAAAGGTAAAGAATTCTTACTTCTCTTAGGCTACAGTCATTCTTGTAGTCTGTCTTCATATTGCCTCCAGGTCTTAAATAGTTCCCTCGTGGCTTAATGAGGAAAATAGGATACAGTATTCAAGATGTTCAATTTGGCTGGAGTCCTATGCGAGTCTAATACTATTATTCCACTGTTCTTTGACATGCTAAAGGAAAATTTATGTTCCTTTCAACCTTAGCTTTTAGCTATTTTTACACTGTTAAATGAATTGCTAAATATTTAATGTTATAAAAATTAATGTTTAAAAGCATTGAGTGGTCATATTTACTTAAAGAAGGGCCTTCGTTAATTCAATTGTTAGTGGTACAATCTCATCACTGTCCCATTCACTGTCATAGAAATCCTAAGCTTCAGAAAATTGCCTTAAATTTAAATATACAGCAGCAATAAGCTCCCAGCCTTTTAGCAGAATATCTGACTTGCAGACTAAACAGTGTGACACGTTCTGAATCCCATCATTTTTTTGTGCAGGGACAAAAGAGTTTGAGAAAAGCAGGACATAGAAAATGGTGCAACTTTTCCATTTTCCACTTGCTACGTGGCCCCAATTGGATGCTATTGTTAAAATTGAACATTTAGTTTCAAATTTGTCTGACAAATTGAAAAGTATTGACCCTTGGGTGCGAGAGTAACATCAGCATTTACTGAGAACGTAGGAGAAATGTAGTACTGTCAGTTCTTAGAAAAGTTCAAATCCTGCCATGTAAAAATCATTAAAAATTATTAAATGAATTGACTGATGAAGATATTTGCCCAGAAGATGTTACATGTTTTGTTTGTTTTTACTCTTAATACTTGCTGTACTTTTACAATTGCTGTAATTTACTTCTGTTGCCATCAGATAAGAGAATCACTTGCTGGAGAAATAAAACGGGAGATTATGGATGGACTTCTAGCTGCAATATCACCAACTAGTAGATCTACTGTTGGACAAAGGGAATAGTTCTTGTAATTCTGGTGAGTAACCATTGCTGACTCAAACTATTGTGCTGTTAAAAAGGTACAAAGTTTGATGAATAATTTCCTTTTCCGTAATCTGGCTTTCCTCTGTTACTCAAGGTTGTGCTAAACTATCTAGAAAGCATTTTTAAAGTTCCATCATTACTAAGATTTGAAATTTTTTAGATCTTCTTTCCTTTAGTCTGCGAGCACTTTCACTAACAGCTAGCTGCCCTGAACAACTTATTGTGTGTTGATTTTAAAAAGGAATACAAAGATTAAGCAATCATTATGTGGACTTGGGTGATAACATTGTCTTCTGTCTGACTTCATATAGAGAAAGTGGTAGGTCATGTTATTTTGTCATTTGTATCTGAGAGTTGGGGCCATTAGGAAACGTTCCTCATAGTTCTTGATATTGTATGAAATATTGAAATACCAAAAACTGTGCCTACTGTGTTTTGCATTATTTTTGCAAAAGGTATAGCCTACTTGCAGGAAGGTTCTAAACTTATGAGAAAAACACTCATTCTTTTAAATCTGATATATTCAAACAAAATAAAAAATATAATGTTTGTAAAATGTATCTTAGAACATTCAATTAATCATGGGCAACCTGTAGGCAGCCTCTTCTAGGTTTTTCTAATAAAGGGAGTCCTCTTTGTGATTGGAATCGAACAACAAATTCCCTGCTCTTAAACTCCTATGTCTTGACTAATAAAGGCAAGTATCCCATAAGTCTCCTTAACCACTTTATCCACTTGTCCTGATACCTTAAGGGACCAGTGTACGTGCACGCCAAAGTCCTTCTGATCCACCAAACAAAAAAACCCCAAAGAACTATGGATGCTGGAATTCAGAAACAAAAAC